TGTATGTAGTTCCTATAATAGTCATCCTCTCAGGCTGACACTGATGATAATCTGTATTCAGAGGAACACCAAACCTAAAGGTGAGGCAACAGGAAACTCTTACACAGCCACAAGTGAAACTTCCCATTTCTGATCAAAAATGACATTTCAGTCAGGACACTCATGTCAAAGTTTTAATGACTTGGACCAATGCATACTGTAGTTTGACAGTGTGGCTTGCTTGTTATGGTGCGGGGACAGAGTGGACCCAAACGCAAAACAGGTTTTATTGAAGGGAAAAAAGGGGTTGAGGGAGTGGAGGTGCGGGAGAGGCAGACGCCGGGAGGAGAAACACGGCACAGGAACCGAGGAGACTGAGACAAGGGAGCCGGGGGCACTGGGGACTGAGGGAGTAAGGAGGCACGGGGAGGAGGTGGAGGGGAGAGGGCAGGGTGGCGAGCCCCAGCTGTGGAACGGAGACGGAGGTGAGTGAACCTGGAGTGGAGACAGACAGGTCAGAAGCAGGGAAAACAAAGTACAAGGAAACGCAGAATACTCAAGAGCTTGAGTGGTGAAGTGGCACCAGGTGAGGAGCACGACGATCAAACAGGGGTTGAATCGAGAACCGGGGTAGAAGTACTGTCAGAGATGAGGCTGATGCTGGCAGTGTGGCAGGCAGAGGAGGTACTGACAAGGTGCAGGTGCGGGTCGTTGGCTGGGCTCAGGAGCAGAGGGAGAGCACATGCAGGAGAGGAGACACGGGGAGGCAGGCAGAGTAGGAAAACACCAGGGGAAAACAGAATCACAAGCAAAAAAAAGGGAGAAATAATCGGGACACTCACCGTCAGCCAGGCTGCCACCACAACACTGCTCATGTAATTCTCTGGAACAAATCTGAGCAACAGACTGTCCTGAGCTCACACACCACAAAATGTAATGATCATGAAAGACATGTTAAAGAAACAAATTCAACTAAATGCCAAGATTAAATTTTTTATTTCAGTTTGTTTCACCATTTATAATAGAGAAAAATACTTTTGTCGTTTCACAGGTTTGCAGACCAGAGGAAATTCAGATGGCACAAACATGGAGGTGACTTTCTTTAACTCTTTGATTACTCTCTCTGTTGGATAAGATTACCATGCAGGAGACAGTAGTTAGAGAGACCAATCCTCAGGGCTGGAATCAGGTGAAATTTTGACAGTATCAGCTTAAATAAACCCGATCACATGCTGATCCTTTCTTTACTGAACTCTGCTGTGTTTACTCACCTTGTTGTGTGCAGCGCAGCTCTCCTTCACGCCTACAGTGCAGCATTTCACTGCACGTAGGAGTTGAAAATAGAGTTACTATAAACATCTTTTGGGCACCAGTGAGTGGATCCTGAGTCCTGACATCAAGATTCACTCTGACCCTAACAAATCTGTTATGAATCTTTAATCTTACATGTATCTGCCAGGTTCACCTCTTAAAATGGCAAACATTGGCTGATTAACGTTACTTCTGTAAGTGCCAAAATGAAAATGCTTTTCTCTATCAGGTCTGTGTCTGTACAGCCAAAGATCTTTGTGCGTAAGAGCTTCCACTCTGTTACACTGCTGTACAACCACGAATGGACTGTGTTTCTTTTCCAACTATTTATTCTATTCCAACTAACAGTAGGACGTCAATATTTTGTAAGTTACCTTTATTTTTTATTTACTTAAGATACTCCACCTAAAACCATCAAACTATTAACAGACCCACCAGAGACTTTAAACCTTGCTGTAGAAAGTTTGTGGACTCAGTAGTGACGGGTTTTCACAGTGGGAAAAAAATCAAAATGTCACAGAAACCAAATCACTTCTGCAGTATAATCCTCTTTCTTCACTGTCCATCATCATCTGTTTTTCAACATATAGCTTAGCAGAGAGCTTCTGTCTCCACCCTCATGTACAAACTGGTTGTAATGTGTTGGTTTTCGTTTCCTGCCTCCTGCTCTCAGGAGTCACCTCCAAAAATGTATGAAAGGGATGTGTCTGTATTTCACTGTAGGTCATTCTCTGTCAAATTGTGTTTTTGTTTTCAGATCGCCCTCTATGAGAACTGTCCTCCAGCTTCTACATCTGAATCCACCTACGAGAGCCTCGATCCAGCCAGCAGGGAGCAAACCAGACCTACTCTACACTCACACACACACACACACACACACACACACACACAAATGATGCGTTTGTGTCTCACTGAGCACTGCAACTCTGCCATGTACGCAGGTATTCAGGTAGATTAACGCTTTCTCACCAAGAAGCAGTCCACATGATCTTTAGCAGGTTTTAAAACTGAAAAAAGCACTTAGACTACACGTTAGTGGGGAACTTAAAAAATTAGACCTTCCCTGACTGTCTTGGTTTCGCTATAACAGCCTGTGGACAGATGTAAGGGCTCAGGATTGCTTTTCTGCCAAAATCCAAAGGATGAGATGTTTATACGCTCCCGGTGCCTTCTTTCTGCTCCCCTACAGAAACAAATATGTGAAACATTAGTTTAGAAACAGAATTTGCAAACGTCAGCAATACAAAGTTCAAAGCCAAAACTAACATTCCTGCAAAGCAGAAAACATTATGGGTTTTGGTGGCTGACATTAGCAAATGTTAGCTTGCTTGCTAACGTGGACAAATTGCTGTCCAAAGAAGCCAAAAAGTCAGCTGATTGATCCAGACTCCCAGGGCTGATCTGGCTGGTGGATTGACTGGCTTGCTGTTTGCAGGTTACTTTGGTGGCTGGCGGCGTGAGTGGGCCCTGCCAGTGTTTTATGACTATTATATTTATTATATTAATTATTTACCACGTAATATCAATAAAATTACAATTTTCAAATAATGCAATATCATGATGCGGAGCTGGCTTTTCTTTTGCATGATAATGTGTTTTTGTCAGGGTTTGTGGTGGTGTGGCAGGTTGCAGGACCCAAACGCAGGACACAGAGTGGAGCAGGTATAGTTCAATGGTTTATTAAAGCAAACAAAAGGCGAGCACACTTACAACTGAGTGGCTGAGTCCATGTCCAAAATAAATAAGCAATCCAAACAAAACCGGTGATCCAAAAGAACTCCAAAGGCAAACTCCAACTAACCATAGAACTGGCAGGGCAAGACAGCGCAAGAAACTGTACACCAAAGTAACAGAGGTAATGACAGAAACACCAGGTATATATACACAGGGACTAACGAGCAGGGCGGGAGCTACGGAGGTGACAGACATGAGACTAACGAGGCAGGCAGAGAGATAGCAGGGAAGACAGAGAGAGCAGGCAGGCAAGACAGTAAAGAGGAACAAAGAGGCAGGCCGACAGAGTGATAACTGGGGAAACAGACGGAACACTTCATAGGCAGACATGGGGCCAAGTAACCCACACAGACCAGAATAAAAACTAAGACACAAAACTAGGAGCTAAGACACAGGGCTGAGATGCGGAAACAATCAACACATGACAGACCGGTAAAGAGCTGAACAGAACGTAAATGAACAAGGTGAATATACTAAACGAGAGACAGAGACCAGGAGTAAACACTAAGACATGAACTAAAGTACAGGACAGAGTACAGAAGAGCAAAGACATGGAACCAAAACCAACTAAATAGCAGATACAAACCCAAACCCTCAGAATAAAAACCAGAAAACACAGCACTCGGGACAGGATCGTGACAGTACCAAAAAAAACAGACAACCGACAGCAGCACAAACAACAAAGTCCAGGCCGACCGGGGGGACGGAGGGAGGGCAAGGCCAGAAAAACAAGAAAGACACAGTCCAGGGAGCAGACGAGAGAGGACCATGGAGGTCGGGGGTTGACCTGAGGGCAGAATAGGGGGACCAGACAGGGAAACCTCAGGCGCGGCCCCGAGGACAGAGCAAGGGGAAACAGTTCAGGAGGACCTCCCGACCCAAATGGCCGAGCAGAACCGGGGGGCCACAGGGTTCGGGAGGCCGTCCCGAGGGTCGATCGAGCAAGTCAGGCAGATCAGCCAGGAAACAGAGATCAGGAGTCGTGCTGGAGGACGACAGAGAGAACCGGGGCTCACCTGAGGCCTCACCTCTTCAGGCCACGGCTGAGCGCAGGCTGATAACCACCGGCAGAGACAGGGAGCAGGGGGTCGAGAGAACCAACGGCGAAGCAGGTGCCGGTCGGACCACCGACGGGGCAGAAGTAACAAGTCGGCTGGACCACCATCTTACCTTGTGCTGGTTGGACCACCGATGAGGGAACAGGAGTCGATCGGACCACCGGCGGAGCTGAATCAACAATACAAAAATTAGTTTTGCTGTCCTGTCATGAATCAACTGTCCAAGGATACCTGAAAAACAAGATCACCAAACAATATTCAGTGTATATAGCTTCCCACTTTGCCCAGGTCTCTCTCAGTATAAAATATGTGGATGCAAGAGACTGTCTGATAATATCTATATTACAGACACACATTAATCAGCATTTCTGTAAATGTGCCAGTGTCGCCTGCATTCAAAATGCCATAAGCACGTCCCAAATCAAGCATGTAGCATTTGGGGTGTAACTGCAGGATAACGCAGACATCGATGCACAAGAACAAATGCATGGCTACGTGTGGAGCCTACGGTGTAGCTACGTCATGTAGACCCTATTCAGAGTATAAATCAAGCTTTAAGATTGGACATGTGAGGAGAGAGTGTGTGACCTGCTAAAGAAGCGTTTGATTGGTTTGTTTGGAAAAGGAAGGCAAGTCACTTCCTGTTAGATTTTTATGTCTTAGGTGATGAAAAACTATTTATTAATATACCATATACCCTCAGACTATTTCCGGTGCATGAAGGACACGCCGTGGAGAGCTGACTGACCAGTCGCTGTATCTGAATTTGTACAAACACAACTTGCTCAACTTTACGGAAATTAGCCTGTTCAACACACACACCAGGTTCACAAACAGACAGCAAACTGTAAACTAGGCAGAGCTGATCAAATATGAATCAAGATTCTGTTACTGGGTTGCCTATTTCTTGCCTCAGTCCTGACCCCGCCACCACGTTGAAAACAGATAATCCACAGCTACGCACGGTCCAACTTGCAGTTTTGTCACCCATTGCAGAGCATTCATTGGTTGGCTGCATCCAGATGCATCCTCACCTGATTCGTGTGTCTCCAGTTTAAGACCTGAACCCCCACAGACATTTTATACGTGAAGAAATATACAACACATTGTACATTTATGTTTAAAAATCTTATCAGGGTGTTTATATGGCTGTTTCATTGATTAATGCTGAAATTTCCAACAGTCCAAGAAATTACTTGTACTTTACTTGAGTATTTCAATTTTATAATTTTGCTCCATTTCAGAGGGAAATATTGTTATTTTTTCTCCACTGCATTTATTTGACATTTATAGTTACTAGTTGCTTTAAATATCCAACGAAGGTTAAAATCAAGGGCAACTGGACTTGGTTGAAGATACTGGAAGATGTTTCGTCCCTTATCCAAAGGACTTCTTCAGTTCTGACTGACTGGCAGGGAAACTCAGCTATTTAACCTCAGTGGGGTCGTTGGCCCGGGTCATCGATACCGCTGGTTCATTAGTGTTCCTTGTTGCTGTGACGACAGTCGTTACAGTCGTTAAGACTACCTGTGGCCAAGACTGAACGACCATCGTTGGTATCTTCACCTGAGGCCAATAGGTTACGTTTGTTGAGTTTCCTGGGAAGTGATGAAAGGACAGCATTGTAAGTGGGGGATAAGTGGTGGCGTAGACCCCCTCCTCGGTTCAATGACGGCTTCTCAACCCGGGCGTAGATGGCTTCCTTGACACCTCTTTCAAACCATCCATCTTCTCTGCCTCAAACGAGTGTCCTCTGTCCTTCAGATGTAAGTAGACTGCAGAGTCTTGACCTGAGGAGTTGGCTCCTTCTGTGTTGAGCCATGCGTTTGTGTAGTGGTTGTTTAGTCTCCCCAATAACAGGTCTGTGCATTCCTCACTGCATTGGACCGCATACACTAGATTGCTTTTCTTGTGTTTGGTGTGCGTCTTTGGGGTGGACCAGCATCTGTCTTAGTGTGTTCTTGGTTTAAAAATCACAGGGATGTTGTGTTTGTTGAAAATCCTCCTGAGTTTCTCTGATACTCCAGACACGTATGGAATCACAATGTTGTTGTGTTTGACCTTCTTTTCCTCCTCCCCTGTAGTTTTGTTCTTCTTGGATCTTGTGGCTGTTTCAAAAGGTCCATTTAGGGTATCCACAGGCTGTAAGTGCCCCCTTCAGTGTTTCTGTTCCTTCTCTCTGGCTTGGGCGCTTGTTGGTATGTTTTCCGCTCTGTGGTGTAGTGTTCTCATGACCCTAGCTTGTGCTCCATGGGTGGTGTGAATCGAAGAGTAGGTATTGGTCTGTGTGTGGGGGTTTTCTATGAACACCAATCTGCAGGCTCCCGTCCTCTTCAATGTGTACAGCGCAGTCCAGGAAGGCCAAACTGTTGTTGTGAACATCTTCTCGTGTGAACTTGATGTTACTGTCCACAGAGTTGATGTGTTCTGTGAAGGCTTGCACTTCCTGGCTTTTAATTTTGACCCAGGTGTCGTCCACATATCTGTACCAGTGGCTCGGTGCTGTTCCTCTGAAGGAGTTGAGGGCTTGTTCTCCACTTCTTCCATGTAGATGTTTGCCACAATCGGGGATACCGGTGAGCCCAAGGCACAGCCATGCTTCTGTCTGTAGAATCCTCTGTTGTACTGGAAGTAGGTGGTGTTTAGAAAGAGGTCAAGTAATTTACAGGTCAGGGCTGAGGCTAGTTCTGTTGTCCAGGGTGTTGTCTTGTGTTAGCCGTTTCCTAACAGTTTCTACTGCCTCTATGGTGGGGATGCAGCTGAACAAAGAAGTCACGTCATAGGATACCATGGTTTCATCTGTGTGTTTCATCTAGTTGCTTTAAAAAACAAAAACAAACATGTGATATAATTTCTTTCTCTGCATGTACAACATACATTAATGTGCAGGAAACCTCAAACCCTGCAGTAGAAATATAGATGATGATGGGGTGTGTGTGTGTGTGTTGTGTTTGGAGGAGGGACTACATCATTTAAAGAAGTTAGAAGTTCCTGGTTTGTCAGTGAAGAAGTCAGAGAGGCAGCAGTAAACCATCAGAGCCTCAACATGAAAGTCCATCACACTTTGATCTGCTTCTTCTTCCTCTGTGAGTATTCACTTTGGATTTCTGTCTCTCTCTCTTGTTATGTAGTTTTTCTTTATTATTCTCATGATTAAATATGATGATCAGAGTCAGGTATGAGGCATTTTAATGGAAACGTTCACATTTTTTGAAGTCTGTACGAAAA